TTTTTTTTTTTTTTTTAACTAAATAGGAGAAGACAAATGTAACCAGCTGGGGTTTGTATGTCATATCCAACACCACTGCCATTTCTCTTATTTCCACTGCAATCTCCATCCAATCATAAGCAGTGTTGCATTGAACACGTACAATGTTTAGCCTACCTCTCCTTTTTGAGGAACGAGTCCCATTGTGTCTGATCAAGAGGAAGGTAATTAAGAAGGATCTGAAAAGAGTAGAGTAGAAAGCAGATTTTCTACAAACGTTTGTGAGCAACTTGAAAAGTTCATCAAAAGAGTCATCCATAACTCGATGTTGGGCTGCAGTATAGAGCACGCTGAATAATTGACGCTGAATGATGCTTACCTTCCAGCTAAGTGCCCGTATGCCCTGTGGGTCATAAATGATGCTTACCTTCCAGCTAAGTGCCCGTATGCCTCCTTCAAAGGGAATTCCTGCGATGAATAAAGAAAAGGACGCTCAAGGGCTGTTCGGCAATGACTTATCAGAGCAATAGGACCCAAGACAGAAACTTACCATTGAAGCACAGCTCCCTCAGTGTTTGCAAGTTTATGTTTTCTTCTGTCAAAGCTACTTTGAAGTCCTGTATTCTACGGAAAAACAATGGAGAATGTTTTTATCTGAACCATCCTAATGGAATTGGAAACATGTTGTACATTCTGCATACCCAACTATTTTCAATTTGAGAATATCTACAGGATAGACTATACTTCACAGAACTTAAGCACATATATGCACACATGCACATGCAGGATAGACTCTGTACACTTACACATATGGATTGTTCTCAGAGAACCAGGTCCAGGTGTGTGACATGTGAACCCAAGAGTAAGCTTGTGCAAAACCAGTTAAAAATGATATATGCTTGAAATCAAACCTTCCTCCAGTGCAATACGAATAAATAAAGATAGTTCACGTTCACTCAGCCCTGGAGATTGTTGAATGCTATAATTTTTTACGACGATGTCACCCATGTTGACACTAAGCACACCACCAATTTGCTATTTGCTAATGGTTAGAGAAATGAAAATGTCAAACGTGATTTGGATCTGTTTCTGAATTTATCACGTGCTTACGTCCCGTTATTAATTAAAGCAAGACATGTAAAAATAAATAAGCACAGAACAAAAATACTCATTTGAAGGCAAAATACCATAAATCATTGCAGAAAATGAGAGTACGTCTGACGGAAAACGGGTTTGAATGCCAAATAACCACAGTCGGTCGATTCAATTAAACAGAGTCTGACTTTTAGAATTTAGCTTGGAACACGTTTTCAAAAATACACAGTCAGCAAGAGAGCAAAACGTTTGACGTTAGAGGCTCGTGTTAGTTGGATGTTATCAGCTGACATGCTAACGGGAAGCTAGCATCGCTAGCTTGTCAAGCGAACAACTAAATATTCGTTTTTGGGACAACACAACGATTTACTGACTACATACGTTACATTTCAACACAACACGAAAGTGAAATGTAAGCGGTGCGGTCCGCAATAGCTCTTGAATGCAAGTTTAAGGTTCTGCTAGTCCGAATTGTGGTCAGGATGCTTTTGTCACTGTAGTAAATACCGATCGTGTATTGCATGCTATTTTCACGCCCATCATCCCTCGCAGAACGTACCTGTTTTTGTATGCAACGGACATATCTGGGCAAGCGGCGATATTTTCATGCAACTATTTCCAAAAAGGTGCCTGAGAGAAATCCTCCCGTCACTTCCGTCTTCACAACACTGTGAGAAGCCACTACACTACAGTCTACGCACCCCGGTGTTCGTGCTTGCACGTGACTGTACAGAGGAGGGGAGGGACATAGTAAGTACGGTACCTTGACTTTCGCGTTTATGTCATTCCGTGACCACGTTTCGAACTCAATCTTACTTGTAGTTCACCAAATGGGTGTCTTAATTAACTGCCACCTTAAATTTAGGTTGCACATTGTTAACATGAAAACCGTGACTGTGACTCATTTGAAAAACATTGAAATCCGTTAGTTAGCTTTGTGCTAAAATAAGAATGCTCGTGATCTTGTGCTACATCTCTACATGTGATTTTGCACATCTGATGCATACTGTAGATGGGAGAGCTTTTACCTTCTTCTGTATGTTGGCAGGGTTGTTATTACCTTGCATTTGCATTTTTCTTCACGAATGGAAAGGAACAGGTGAAAATTGGATTAACTGATATGAATTAATATAATACAATTCAAAACTCATGAAGTGTGGCAGCGGAACCAAAGGAACAAGCGGATAGTTGCTGACACGGGTGTACAGTCACTCACTGTGTGGAACGTAGACACTGATTTATGTTAAAATAACATTGACAAAGAAGTGTCAGGCACGACTATGTATGTGTTT